TATATATATATATATATATATATATATATATATATATATATATATATATATATATATATATATATATGTATATATATATATATATTTATATATGTAAATACATATATATATATAGTATATTTACACACGTATTATTTAGTATTATTTACACACGTATATGCATGTGTAAATAAGTATTATAAATATATTAAATAAGTATTATAAATATAAAATTTTTGCATATCTAAATTTAGAAATCAGTCTATTTTGGTACATAAATTATAAGCTATATAAATCTTATTACTGTATTTGTATATTTAGTATAAACTTGTATAAATATAAATGCACTGTACAAATAGCTTAAATACTAAGATTACAAATTTTATCCTTCATATACTATTTAATTTTAATTTATTTTATTTAATTTATTTAATTTCATTTACATGTAATTACTCATGGAATGCTCAGCTGTTTCTGTAACCAAGCAGAGCCTTTGTAAAATCTTGGATCACCAATTCTCAAAGAAGCTCTCTTGTAAAAGTAATAATATAGTACTGCAACTTTATAAAATTTAACATTATAACATATGCTTATGAGCAGATATGTTCTAAGATCTCTGAAGTTGTACCTGTTCTGTGCATAGAGTAAAGAGTATGAAATCCTCTAGTCCAATAATGTTGTAATGGTGCTGACCAATGTATGGTAATATGCCATGTATGTAAACTAATGGATAGTATCATGTATACAATACATAATATCAATGTCATACGGAATCTTGTATACAACAGTTGTATCAATCCTGCCTGGAGAAGGCAATTTTTTCTTTACATATTTCTGTTAAATTTATTTCTTTTATATATATATATATAAATTAACATGTAATTACCTGAAAAATATAAGTAGAAAAGAAGTTTACCAAAAGAAATGTTAAATTTGCAATAAGGCAGAAATCTTGAATTCTAAAAAGAATATTATGTAGTAAATAAGTATAATTGTACAATATGCAATATGATAAATAGTAAAATTTATTACATACACATAAAGCACCAACAAATCTATCGGGTATTGTCTGGAGAAACTTGCAAATGAATTTACACAAATATCAAAGAGTAATATTGTGTATTGCACTATTACGATCGTCGTGTACTGTTTTGTACTTAAAGTATTCATTTATCACTTGCAAAAGCTATTGTACAATTAAAATTAAACATATGCATTTGTAAGTTTATTGTATCGCTTGAACGCAGAAACACAGTTGCTATGGTTAGGCGACAGTTTCCCGAAAAGTGGAGGGGATAATGTTGGTACCAAAGAAAATCTCTACACAATATAATTTATCTGCGTTCGAAAACATCACTCTCTCGTGTGTTTTCGTGACTTCAGTGGGAAAGTAGTTGGGGTACCGTGTGCCTACGTGTGTCGAGTGTTTTCGAACGCTTTTCAGTGTGACTTTTAGTATAAACTAGGGTTTTCTGTTTCTATACTGTGAAGTAATGCGATAACGAAAAGGTTATTGGTTTATTCTTTTCAGCTTCATCGTTTCTCACTCTAACTTATTGCACTAATTCAGCAGTGCAACTGAAAAGAACAAACCATATAATATAGGTAACTAGTAATTCACCAACTTACACCGACTCCCCTCGCTTTTTTGTTGAGTGATTTGGTGGCACACGGTGTGCCTCTTGCAGGATTCACACCGCGTCCGACATACGACGTCCGATATCCAATAGGAGAACAGATTTCTAATATAGAATTCAATTCTCCATTGGAAAGCTATTCTTTTATTGGATATCGAACGTCGTACGTCGGACATCGGACGCGGTGCGAATCCTGCATCTCTCTCCGTTTCCGAACGATCTCACACGAGTGCACACCGAGCCACACAGAGTGTTTCCGAACGGCTATCGTCTAGTAGTGTGCACACAGTGTGTGTTTCCGAACGTAGCCTTAAAGATTTCTGACTTCAGATTGCTGACTCGGCGCCTCACTGTGATTGGTCCATTGAGAGTCGGCAGTCGGTCAGCCTGTGAAGTCGGTAGTCTGATACGGGCTTAACATGAACTATAGATTTTTAGTACTGGTAGTGAATTTCGGAGTGCAATCACCGTAAATTGTTTGCGAAACTTTTGGCGCGAAACGTTTGACTGCTGAGAGGTTAAAATTAACAAACACCCTCTTCCAGTAATCTATTTTACTCTTATCTGTTACATTGTTTTATGTGCGTATAAAAATCGTCTATCGGCCCTAATAGAAACAATGAGGTGTGTAACGCCTGAAATTTCATGGCATAATCGCGATCCTGTACTGAGCGTTGATGTACAAAGTGGATCGTATAAGAATAGAGAAGGACAAACGTTTTGGAGAATTGCGACCGGAGGAGCGGATTATCATGTTTTGGTAATATAATGAACTATATTACTTGTCTTAGAAAGGATTTATTATTGAAAAAAAAGAGAAATGCCGGAATCAGGTTCTTTTTTTATATAATTTTGATACTTTCACATGGAGTAGTATTGTTGATAAAAACTTTTCAATAATATTCTTTCTAAGATGATTAATTCAATTGCAATTATTCACTCAAGAGTATTTTAAGAGTAACTGATTAAGTACAATTTCAATGTTTCAATATAGATTTGGCACATGACGATAACAGAATGCAATAGTGTTACTATTAATTATGTAGCAGACTTGGAACGTCATCAGAGGGCAGTGAATGTAGTAAGATTTTCCCCATCCAAAAAAATTTTAGCATCAGGAGATGATGGTTAGTATATTTTTATATTATTTAGTATACTTTTCTTCCCTTTTATATAAACATAGACTAATATTAACTTTAACATTACTTACAGAGTCTGTTATTATCTTATGGAAGTTAAAGGAAGAAGAACAAGATTGTTCTCCACCTTCAGACACTGAAAACAAAGAACAGTGGACCTCTTGGAAAGTACTAAAGGGCCACATCGAAGATATTTATGATATCAGCTGGTCACCAAACTCTAATTTTCTAATTTCTGGTTCTGTTGATAATACTGCTATACTGTGGGATATTAAAAAGGGTCGTAATATTGCGATATTATCAGATCATAAAGGTTTTGTACAAGGAGTATCTTGGGATCCTTGCAATCAATATGTGTGTACTATTAGCACAGACAGGTATGTGTTTCACTTTGATATACAAATTTATATAAATGATAAATGATTCTTAAACCTCAAACGTTAATTATAACTTTTGTCACATTTTAGAAGCATTATTTGTACCAATGTGTATAATAAACGTTACTGTTTACAGACAATGTCGTTTAATAGACATTGCTAAGAAGAAGGTCATTCAACGTGTCCACAAGTCAAAAATTCCAACGCCACCTGGTCACCCATTAGAAGGAAAGGTCGTCCGTTTATTTTACGACGACACATTCAAATCTTTTTTCCGTAGGCTAACTTTTACCATAGACGGCTCGCTGATTATCGTTCCTTCTGGAATAATCGAGCCGCAAGAGACCACGGGAAATATATCGAATGCGACAATGATTTTTTCCAGACAAAATATAAAAGAGTTGGTATCTCTCGCGATATCTGATTAAAGTTCGTTCTAGAAAAAAAAAAAAAAAAAAAAACAATTGTTTTTTCAGGCCAATAATGATCCTACCTACTCAGGACGAATGTACTATAGCAGTACGATGTTGTCCTGTGTACTTTGAGCTACGAAAGGACGGGCCATTCTCTGTGATAACGCTGCCTTATAGAATGGTATTTGCCGTCGCGACACAGTCTTCCGTATTATTTTATGACACACAACAAACTTGGCCGATCGCCATGGTATCTAATATTCACTATGGCAGACTAAATGACATTTCGTGGTACGTTAACTATCACATTAATTCTCGTCTACAACTTTGCTTTGAGAGGCCGTAAAGCATATTGACCAATAATCGGTTGATTATTAAAATAATCGATTATGATTGATCAATTTGCTTACAGCTCCTTAAAGCAAGGATGTGACTCAGTGCTTATCAGTTATCTAAGTTAATTGCTCTTAATAGAATTATGAGTTAATAAAAGCCTGTACACAGGTGCAGTAGTGTAATCAGACAAGTAAAAACTTTTACTTGTGATTTACATAGTCGAAAGTATAAAATTGATTAGTCAAAAAATCCAAGTTGGCTCTTATTAACTCTTAAAGATTCTGTTGATTGGATATCATTTCAGAGCTTTTTAATCGAAACGTATTCAATTTTAATTGCTTTTAACTTCTCTCTTGTTTATCTTGTAGGTCTAGTGACGGGCGAATTTTGATTGTATCCTCGAGCGATGGCTATTGTTCTATAATACACTTTGACGAGAAAGAATTGGGTGAAATTTACACAGCAAAGGAGCCTGTAAATATACCGAAGGAGACGCTTAAGAGCTCTGGCAAGAAATCTTCAAGCATCGTAGTCAAAGATAGCGTAAACAAGAAAAAGATCTCAACGTTGGACGTGGATGAAAGTGCGGTGGATATCGATATTACAAAATACAATGTAGTCGCGAGAACGAATGATTCTCCTCAAAATCCGATCGAAAAGAAGTCAGACGAGAAGTCAGAAGTCGTGCAAGATCAAAATAACACAGGGAAAAGCAGCGATCCGCAAATAGAAAACAAATCGAAGGAAGAAATCGCCGCAGAAGAAACTGAAGATATCAAGTTAGTGTATCACGAAGACAGTATTAGCGATACGGCCAAGGTGAAAACGAAAAGTGCTCCTTTGCAAACTAACGTTGCTCCAATCAAGCCCAACAAAGCACCTAGAAGGGTGCAACTGATAACTCTGTCCAGCCCAAGAGAACTTAAGAAACAGTAGCTTATATATTGTAAAAAAGCGGATAGATCTCTTCCAAGACTCGTGTATGGAAAGTTTTAGCGTTTACAACTATTTTTTATAATTAAGGCTACCATATTCTAGGAGAGAGCATCGACGTTTGTCCGTTGAATTCTGTATCAAGAATCATAAATATCTTCCAAGTTGTAAATTATATACACGAAACATAGTATGGACTTTTTTTTCATACGTAAGATACTTCATCCTTGAAAGGAAGCCGCATTTATACCTTGAACCTTCGTTCCCGAGAAACCTGACTATACAAGCTAGCTTAGCGGTCTACGTGCAGATATATGCGCGTATACGTGTATATGATCATCGCATGCTATAGCAGGCGAGTGATTCGCGACGCCTATGACTCTGATATACAGATATCGCGTGTATATAGCGCTGCTGTTATTAAATGGTGAAGCACAGTGATCGGACTATCCGCGAAGTCAGACAGTGATCGAACCGTGGCACCGTCCGACACGTTGCTCGCTGCCGGACATACGCAATTGTAAAAAAATGGTGAGTGCTAATTTTTTTCATCATTTCTATTAATTATCGAATATTTTCTATTATTATGTATTTATTTTTGCAATGAATGTACACATTTGTGTCGATAAAGTGTTATTCGCACTCGTTCAAATTTGTGATCAAAATGCACGTTTTATAGAAAGAGAACGGTTGTCTAAGACTTATTTCTTTAGGAAACGCGAAAACAGACATTCGGTAACGTTAATGCTGTCGTATAAAGGCGCTTTATTGCCGTTTTATTTTTTCATTGTCTCTAATCGATGTTTGAAATAAAGCCTTTCCTACATACACATTGATCCATCTACATGAGGAAAAAAGTCACCTGCAATAAAAGTGGATTTTTTACATCTTTTTAAAAGAAAGATTTGAAACTTGCGATAACGTCACGATGAACGTTTACGAAGCGCGCATTCGTAAACATCTTAATAATAACAGGAATTGATCGCGTCTTTATATGACAACACTATTCTTGATAAAGCGCATGGCATATACCGTATACACGTCACAAGCAAACAAAATGTATGAATTGGAAAACATTGGAAAACATTGTAGCGTGCGCCACGTACTCTCGTGAATATAATTTTTTTATGCGCTTACAGCTCGTGAGGCCAATTAAAAGTTCTTCCGAGAACGTGGATAAAGTGAAAAAGTATAGAGAAAATTGAGAACAAAATTGAATAAAAAATAAGTAAATAAAAAATATTCCAAAAGAATGCACTCGATATAAAATTCACGAATCCGATTTGTTGAATGACATTTCCTACAAAAATGTTACTTTAACAAAAATATTTTTTGTTACTGTTATGTATATTGTGACTTTTTAAGTTTAAATTTTCAGAATATCGAAGGAAAAAAAAAATAATTTTTACTTTTCAGATTATTTCTTTTTTATGTTAGTCTTCTGTTATTTTATAGTTCGGCGAAAATTCGCGCACGGTGGCTGAAGGTTATCGGTATATTCTTAAAGCTACACGCGAAATTTAAATTATGGAACGATTCATGTTACGAATACAAATCACGACCTATGGTATAATTATATATAGTATAAAATCACTTTTCTTTCCCTGCAATTTTTACAATTAGCGAGATTTTTTCATTCTGTTAAAATTCATTTATTAAAATAAGCATATAAGATGTAGTAAAAGTGTAAATTAAGTATGGCTAAATTAATATTAACAACTTAATATTAACAATATTATTAATTAAAACAACAATATAATTAAAAACTTGCAATTAGCAGTTTTGCGATTCGAAAATTAGTTTTTATAAAAAAAATTACAAATCGCAAAGCACATCCCAGATAACACAAAGAATTTAAAAAGAATTCAATCATATGTCACCAATTCTGAGTTCACTTTTGGGTGCAAAAAGAATTCTGAACTAAACTCTGAAGAATTCTTTTTACATCTGAAAATGAACTCAGAATTGATGACATACGACTGAATTCTTTTCGAATTTTTTTAAAATTCTCTGTGCTGGGATATGTCTTGGATGTTCAAATATTTTGATTCATGCTTCGTGCATAATTTAATGAATATCTCTGTCAAATAGCGAATATATTAAACAATTATTCGACAATATCCAATCATAACAATAATTATCAGACTCTTATCATGTTAACGATCCATATTCGGCCTAGATACTTGATCGATGTGTGTATGCGCTTTATAAATGCGATTTCTTTGCTCTCACACGGGAGAGATCACCTCTTCGGCGAATCGCGGAACCGTGTCACATGCACGTGGCTGTACAACATGATGTTCGATTAAGCTGCTATGGTTACAATGTGTCAACCTGTAAAAAATCGATTTTTACCGTCACATGCAGATGTGCAGGGTATAATATCGCGAGAGACAACGCGTCGTCCATGTATGTAGCCCTGCAAGCCGGAGAAGTAGGCCGGCTATAGGCATGTCGATATAGATGCACACTTTTAGGACAGAGCTGAATTATTGAAGGGGGACACGTTATGTCAAGGCACACAATTTTCCACCTTGGCAGACGTTGTTGATGGGTAAAGCACCACTTGAGTCGACGATGTCCCGGCCTTCAGTCAGTAATCACACCTTGTTGAGCATAGTTCCGTCCTCAGTCAACCTCGTTAGACTGCGTTCGACAGATCTGACTTGAACTCGATCGGGTGTTCGGTCCTTTAGGGTGACTTGTAACGCGCCTTCCGCATGAAGCATGCCGCGTGCGTTTGCTCCTAATTCTGACTCTTATTTATTTATTTTATGCACTTAATAAATTTACTGCGGCAAGGAGTTTACATCGATATAACTCGACTCCAAGTCTAGATGTTTATTCGTAATGAAAATGCCCGAATTTTTTTAGATATAAAATACATCAATTAATAAAATCAAATTATTCGAAGTATTTAAAATATTTCGAGACAGAAATTTTGCATTCGAATAATTTGAATATTTGTTATCCGCTCCAAAAACGAGAGATTTATTATTATTATTTCCGATGGATTAAGAGAATTGTGAAGTGAATAACAAATACAAATTGAAGAGAGAATCAATCAATTGTAAAGTAAAATTTAGAAATTCATGAAAATCAGTCAATTGTAAGTTAAGTTTCGTTATATAATATCAGAAATTTTCTAATTTTACAAAATGAATTTTTACCAATTCTTGTTAAGTCATCTACCTTTCAGAGTATAGTTACTTAGAAAATATCTAAAGAAAAAATATATAAAGAAAAATATATAAAAAAAATATATATAAGGAAAAAATATTGTATTAAAATATAAGAAATTTGATATGTATTCGACAAGAAATTTAATGTGTGTGTTTTCGCAGAAATTTATAGTTATTAAATTATAATATAACATAACATGGAATATTCAGCTATGTCGAATATGTATCTGATGCAAGAGGATATCGTCAATTAAACTCAAGTTAATCAATTCAAAGTGAACTGGACGTCTGTCTTGACATTATTGTGTATTTAGTATCACTTCTGTGTGCGTATGGTGTATAATTTTCTATGAGTGCTATTGGCGATTATCACGCAATCTAATCTAATCATCCAACCAAAAGCGAAAGAAAGTTTCTTTTGGAGAAATGGCGAAAAAGGTAATTCGCGTAATGCGCTTCTAACGAGATCTGAACGAGGTCAGTACTTTTGTTGAGCGGTTTGCGCGCGTCTTTTACGAGTCCATAAACGCCGCAGAGATTGTCGTGAATTTTTTAACGACATCACGTAGCAATCATAGCTAAGTATGATGTAGCAATAGTCGTTTTGAAATAATCTTATCTTTAATGTACGACACATTTAGAAGACTGTTAATAACATCGAGAGACTACTTTATTTGGGTAAAAAAGTAATTAACATAATTAATTAAAAGTAATAAAGAAGAAGTATCTAATTACAACATCATTATGTTCGTACATCTCGCTATTTATCTCGGAAGGAAAAAGAAGAGAATTCGTATTCTTTTTTAGATAGTCTTCTCCGAGTTAAAGATATCTTTGCTGCTACGACCTGCAATATCAATTTGTTTTTGTTCACAGCGGGAATGCATATCGATTCACATTGGGCAAGCGGGCGTGCAAATGGGAAACGCCTGCTGGGAGCTGTACTGTCTAGAGCACGGTATCCATCCTGACGGGCAAATGCCCAGTGACACTACTGTGGGTTATGGGGACGATTCTTTTAACGCGTTCTTCTCCGAGACGGGCTCAGGCAAACATGTTCCGCGCGCGGTTCTGATTGATCTCGAGCCGACGGTGGTAGGCAAGTGTCTCGAGCGATGATTATCCAGATAGCACAGAGAATTGAAAAGGAATTCAGAAAGAATTCAGTCACCAATTCTGAGAGTTCACTTTCAGATACAAAAAGAATTCTTCAGAATTCAGATCAATGAAAAGAATTCTTTTTGCATCTAAAAATGAATTCAGAATTGGTGACATACGACTGAATTCTTCTTGAATTCTCTGTGCTATCTGGGTATCCACCTCCCGCGATAATTGTAATTCGCACATCTCAGATTTATTTATTACAGATTACCAAATATTGTAATACTGTAAGGTAAAATTATCGCGAATTCTCGAATGCATATCGTTTGATTAAAATCAGAGATTTACTCTCTCAAAATGAATCAGTCAAACATCACTGAAAACAATGAATATACACTGATTTGTAGTTATAAGTATAGCACCGAAAGTGCTCAGTACTATACTTATAACTGATATCAATGTCTATTCACTGATTCACTTTAAAAGAGTAGCGTTCTAGCAAAGCGTTATTCTCTTTGTGTAATATTAATAATCTAGTCTGTACATGTCTTGTATGGAATATGCATCGCGTGTCAAAAGTCGATAGATACAAGTTGATAAATAGTCTCATCACTGAGAGAAATTATTTGATAAGAAATTAACAAACGGATCTTTTCGATCAAAATACCGATAGATTTTTGTATCCGATGAGAAATATCGATTCATAATTTTTTGATCGGTTTATCTGACGAAATGCCATTATGATCGGAAGTATTCGATTGAAATTAATCGGATATCCTGTATGTTAATTTTTTATCGAATAATTTCTCTCAGTGCATCAATATTTCAGACGAGGTTCGCACGGGCACTTACAAACAACTGTTCCATCCGGAGCAAATGATCACCGGGAAAGAGGATGCGGCTAATAATTACGCCAGGGGCCACTACACAATAGGTATTTCGATTTTCCGCTGCAACTTTACATAAACAACTCGTATTTCTCCCCTGAAATCTCGATCAATGATGCAAATTGGAAAGTGCGGAAGGAAGGAGAAGGAAAGACACGAATTTCATAGAACTCAGATAGCACAAAATCTTCAGAGAATGTTCTTGGACGTTCTTAGGATATATGAATGTCCTTAGAACGTCTTTAGAACGTTCTTTGAAGATTTGTGCTGTATGGGAAAATGTTCGCACAACCGTGTTAATTTGTTCTACGATTTACAGGGAAAGAGATTATAGACCTCACCTTAGACAGAATACGCAGGCTGACGGAGCAATGCAAGGGCTTGCAAGGCTTCCTGATCTTCCATTCGTTTGGTGGCGGCACAGGATCCGGATTCTCGAGTCTGCTCATGGAACAACTGTCCGCAGACTATCCTAAGAAGAGCAAGTTGACTTTCAGCATTTATCCTGCGCCCCAGGTAATGTTATTCCATGCGCATAAAAATTCTGACATGTTGAAGAAACTCAATCATACAATCATACAATCAGGGAGTGGTGATATCTAACGAGCAATTTTATTCCTTAAAAATATAAAATTTGCTCAATTATCTAATTGGTAGAGATGTGCGAATTATTCGATTCAAATTCCTATGATTCGAGTCCAAATAATTCGAAAATTTCGAATCGAAAAGATTCGAATACAGATTGCGTACATTAGTATTAACGAAGAACTATTAAAGATATCCAGCCTTACGGGAATTAACATGACTTGAAAAGTTTGCTATACATTAAGATTTTCTTCAAAAATATTAAAAGAAGATAATGGCTTCTAGATAAACTTTTAGCGACAACTGTCGGATCGATATGTGTCGTTGCGCAGCTTTCAAGGCTGGAACTGTTTTTCATAGACGTTTATCGATTATATATTATATATCTCTTACCTTAAAATGAATTGATATCACATGATCAATGTTATCTCTCTCATGCTGAAGTCACTATTATCATGTTGAATTCAATGATTATGTTAATTAAAAATTCTTTCAACGATTCGATTCGGATGAAATTTCATCATTTCGATTCGATTCGAAATTAAAATCTGAAATTTGATTTGATTCGATTCGACATAAAAAATCTTTGATTCACATATCTGTACTAATTGGTTAATGAACGTAATTAGTAATTAATTCATCACTGCAAGTGCCCTTTTCACTTCTTGTAGGTGTCTACCGCAGTAGTGGAACCCTACAACGCAATTCTGTACACTCACCCAACGCTAGAGCATAGCGAGGTGGCTTTTATCGTAGACAACCAGGTCTGTAGATGAATTTTAAAGTCAATTCTCTTCACCGAAAATCAATCATCATTCGTCGCGTCACTTCTCACTTTTCCGTGCTGTGTATTTTGGCGATTAAAAATTGTTTTTTCACATATTTATATATTAGTAAAGACTCCAAATCACCCGAATTTCTTTTATACTTAAGTTTCCTGTTGAGGAGCGATCGATTGCGAAATCACAGCTATGTCTCGTGATTTAGATTTCATTATCTGAGAACTTGCGTGTTCTGCGCCGAATACTCTATACATAAAACAAAGGCTATATTTCCATTGTCATGACTGTATGTCCTGGTTTATGCCGCTACATTTCAAGTGATATAGCAACGTTACGTGTCTCTTTAACCGTGCGTTTATATCCGCAGGCCATTTACGAGTTGTGTAGGAGGAACTTAAACATCGATCGACCGACCTACACGAATCTAAATCGCTTGATTGGACAAATGGTTTCGTCCATCACCGCAAGTTTACGATTCGACGGAGCTTTGAATGTCGACCTTACCGAATTCCAGACGAATCTCGTGCCTTATCCGCGTATTCATTTCCCGCTCGTAAGCGATATTTGCTAATTAATTTTATCGATTTTAACGTAACATATGCATAGTATATGTGTGTGTAAAATTTTCAAAATATAATTTTTTATCAATGATTACCTGTAATAGACAATATGATTGATTGGAATTGCTATAAATTTTATCAATATTTCGTATTCCAATCAATTTATGTGTGTGTATGTATCCCTTCAGATATTTATATATAAATTTATAAATTAATTTTAATGATGTTACACATACAGGCCACATATGCACCTGTTCTGTCGGCGGAGAAAGCTGGTCATGAGACGTTGACGGTCTCGGAGATAACGAGTTCTTGTTTCGAGCCGAATCATCAGATGGTGAATTGCGACCCGCGCATGGGGAAGTATATGGCAGTGTGTCTACTGTATAGGGGCGACGTGGTGCCGAAGGATGTGAATGCGGCGATCGCAACGATAAAACGGCAGAAGCATGTGCAGTTCGTTGAATGGTGTCCGACGGGATTCAAGGTAAGTTGTAGTTATATCAAAAAAATTTTAAGGGGAGACTGAAATCATATATAAATTAAAAAGTTATAAAACATATAAAATATATAAAAGCATTTGAAGTCTCAAATAATAACAGATAATGTGTCGCATAATAGACAAATAGCTTGAATAATAGTAAAATTTCCAATCTCAAAGATTGTATGTTTTATATTTTATAAAATTTGTATCTCCATGCGATATTATTATACGTTATTATTATTTGAATAATACATTGTTATTATTTTTGTAATTTTATTAGATTTTGAAATTTAATTAATAATTCTATTTTAAAAATATTATCATCAAAAAAATGTTATTCCCCGGCATTTGATTTTTAGAAGTTAACATTAATATGTATTTATTAAAGGTAGGAATAAACTATCAACCACCCACCGTCGTACCGGGTGGTGACCTCGCGAGGGTGGAAAGAGCAGTGTGTTGCCTTTGCAACACGACGGCAATCGTCGACGCATGGGCTCGACTCGATCATAAATTCGATCTCATGTACGCCAAGCGAGCTTTTGTGCACTGGTACGAGAAATCTGACCTAAATTTGCATTAAGAATTAACAATGAGTGAAATAAAATGAATACAATGTAATATAAAACCATTCGCAGGTTTGTTGGGGAAGGTATGGAGGAAGGTGAATTCTCAGAAGCCAGAGAAGATTTAGCCGCCTTGGAGCTTGATTACCGCGAGGTACAAGAGGATGCTGTTAACACTGAAGAAGAAGAAGAATACTGAATTGTTGTTGTTATCATGTTAATTCGATATTCATATATGTCGTAATATGTTCTGATAAATGCGAACTTTTTAGTTTATCTGTCACTATTATTATATATACGCGTGTGTGTATATATACAGACGATTGTATCCATATAAATAAATCATTTATACATTCTTTTATCAATCATCTTATTGAAGTGTCGAAAATAGATCAGTGTAACGAGATGAGACGCTCAGTTGACACATGTGCAATGATTACAGCTTAAGGAAATATATAAATTAGGGTACTGTATGGACCCTATTATATTTTAGAAAGAGTTTGAAAAATATATATTTATAGTTATATATATATATACACACACACACATATATATACATATGTGTGTAAAAAATATACTTTAGTAATATACAAATTTATTTTTAATGTGTTAAATACAACGTACTATAATAGTACTCTGCTATTTCTGTGGCGGCCATATTGGATTGATGACGTCAGAAGCGAGAAATGACACCGAAAAATAATTGCGTTTTATTGCTTTATTTTTTACTTTTCCCTGAAGAACCAAATATTTTGCTAATCTCGAAACCTGTAAAAAATTCAGCAAACTCAGATATCTAGCTGATATATCACATAACATCGTAAAATAAATCTTGAAATAATGATACATTTTTCGGCTGTCACGATGATTTGATAGCTGAGATTGGCTGATACCAGCCTGTATGAACACATTTAATTTCTCGATTCTCATAATGTATCACTAGTATCACTGAGTTTGCTGCACATTTCACAGCTGTGAGGATCACGATAATATATACAGTTCACGGAGAAACTGCAAAATAACGCGATAAAATGCAATTATTTTTCTTAAGTGTCAAGCGAGGCCTAGTATAACCCTGACCTAATGTTTGCCAATCAACTACGCTGACACGGTTATTTTGTGTTCTCGACACTGCTAGGTGCTACCATCAACTCTGACTTTCTACGCGGAGATAACAGAGCCTTAAATATTAACTACTAATCTGTTTTGACAGTTCGCAATGTTATAAGTAATGGTGTTGTGTTATATCTCACATATCAGTATATTTTGTGTCAAATTCTTATTGTATTCCCATTAATGAATGCTTATGTTAAAAATGCTGCTTATGAGAAAAGATAACGACTAAGGTTACTTTTTTGATATAATATGTACAGTTTAGCATAAACAATATAATTTATTGATATAAATACATATATCTCACTTAAGTGGAATAAATCGTGAAGAATGTGTAGCACCAATACCAGGTCTACCGTGCTTCACTGGTTTGTATGTAACAGAAAACTCTCCAAGATAATGCCCAATCATCTCAGGCTTAATTTCAACTTGATTAAATGTTTTACCATTGTAAACACCAACAATAGAACCCACCATTTCTGGAACAATGATCATGTTTCTTAAATGGGTCTTGACAATTTCAGGTTTTTCATTAGGAGGAGTTTCCTTTTTTGCCTTGCGCAACTTCTTAACAAGTGCCATAGACTTCCTTTTCAGTCCATGGGAAAACCGTCTACGTGCTCTTGCATGCATCAAATCCATTAATTGCTCACTAGAAGAAAAATTAACTTTGACAGTCTATTTTTCAATATTATTCTTACATATGCTATTTACTCTTATTTGAACATTTTATTATAAAAATTGAAACAATATTGGAAATTAGTTAACTATAACTATTGTTTACAAAGGCAATATATGTATACTAATTAGACACTTTGTCAAATGATTACTGCAGGTTATGTTTAGAAAATTACTCGCAATATGTAACTTACTTGGGCATGTCCAGGAGTTGATCGAGATCAACCCCTCGGAAAGTGAACTTCCTGAAAGTCCTCTTCTTCTTCTGCGTTTCGTCTACCTATGAAAAATAAAAGAAGAAACTATGAAATAGCCATTTACGACATATACATGACGGCAATGAGATTACCGTAAGTTAATATCATCTTTTTTATATAATTTCAAATATGGTTAAAACGTGTGACTCGTTCAATTATGTTCCATATGATGGATGTGTGAATATTTTTTAGATTTAATATCAAATTTAGAGGACTTACCTCTGCCATGTTTGCACTTTATAAAACCGACGGTAAAAAGAGCACGCTTGCTCTTCGATAGTGCCAGTTGAGTTGTAATAGAAAGAAGGAGAGGGGGTTTTTATGCCGGTTCTACAATACGTTATCTGTTGGAGTCGTATGTCGGAATGTAGTTGATGATCCAATGAGAAAGTGTATTTTCCATAAACGAGTTTTTCTCATTGGACCATTGACTGGTTCCGATATGCACAAACGACATAAAACTAGCCTTAATGTTCAACGCAGGTGCAGTCTAATGGCTCCTGCACACAGGACGTGGTAATGCTTGCCGCGCGGCAGAAGTTCGCGCGACAGCCAATCAATATGCTGCTTTCCGTAATAAGCTTCTAGCTCTTACGGAAAAACAACATATTGATTGATTGATTGGCTGTCGCGCGAACTTCTGCCGCGCGGCAAGCATTACCGCGTCCTGTGTGCAGGAGCCATAATAAGTTTACCCTTTAATGAGGATTTGCCTTTGGCTTCTGTAGACCCTTGAATTTAGGTTATGTAGAGTTATATTTATGAGAGAATGTATGTCTTTTAAACTAAATACAAATTAACGATCATCTTGCATAAATATATGACATTAGTGTGGCCATCAGTGTCATTAATTCGCAATTGTTATTAGTTTAATTTATACTCATTCAGTTTTGCAGAGGGTGTAATATTTCATATACTTAAAGTGACATAATCATTTTGTATTAATTATTTACAAATATGTTACCCATATATATAGTATCGAAGTAAGTACACTTACAAATGACGAAATTTTGTTTCTGAAAAAATATGTAGTATTTATATATTAATATATTATAATTAAATTATTATTTATTATATTTTATTTTTGTATTGTATTAAATGTATATTTTGTAGATATAACATAAGACCTTCCAGTGGAGTGTTATCGCAATGGCTAAATATTAGTATGAGATTGTGTTCCTCATCAGATTCCTCAGATTCTTCAGATTCTGATTCTGATACTGAGAAAGTGAAACAGAGGAACCTTGCCAAGAGCAAATTGTCTTCTGCGGGAAGCACAAATCCTACAATACCAGATAGCAAAGATAATCTAGGAAGCTTTTTAAATAATATGATAAAAGTAAACTATAAGCATATTTGATTATTTTAATTATTCATCATGTCTAGGATATTTTATATTCTAATTTATATATGTATGTGATAGTGAAGTATTAATTAAGTTTCATTTAAGTTTTATTTTTTTCTTTCAATTAAGTTTTATTTTTTTATTTTCAGACTAAAACTTTGAAAACAATTAAAGACACACCTGCAATTTCTTCAACAGAAATGGTAAAAACTCTTTTATGTGTTTTTTGAATTATATCCTATATCTTATTTTAGAACTATTTCAAAAATGTTCTGTTTTGCTTAGAAAAGTACAACAACAACAATAGCAGGCACTGGAAGCATTGATTTAAATGATTTTGTAAATAACATGTTAAAGGTAAAGTTGTCTTGAAATGAAGTGTTAATAAAAGTAGCAACAAAAGCAATATTTCTCAGAGGAAATTGAAAGTTAATGAATTTAACATTGTTATGTTTAGGCAAGGAAACTAGAAAAAACCATCAAAGTTGCTATACAGCCTAAAAAAGAGATGTCAAGGAAAATTAAACCTATGTCTTATGGTAACGTGATATAATAATAATTACAAAAATATTAGGATATATAAATCTTGATACATAATAAATTATGTATTTTAATGTTTTATGCAGAAAATCGATTAGTAAAAGCAGCTGAAGATGTGGCTGACAAACTTGGTGGAAACAAAGCCGAGATCACGTCGGATTTACTTCAGAAATTTTATAAGGATAAAACTGAAGTAAGGAAAAAAGACGAACAACTGAAAAGTCACACGAATAGCGCCAAAAACGACGTAAACTTAATGGAATATATGTATGTAAATAATTATATATTTAACATGAAATACATATTTTTCATAACTCATTGAACGTTAATATCTTAGAGATTTATTAAAATACTTTTTTCCTATTTAATTATAGAAAATCGAAGCAATATGCAAGATCTGAACAATTGTTAAAGGATAAGAAACAAATTGAGGAAGACACATCCAAAAGACACTCAGAAAAGAAGTCTGTTATACAAGCCCTTTTACAGGATTACCAAAAGCAAGCTAAAACATCTGTGCAGCAATATGCAAGATCTGAACAATTGTCAAAGGATAAGAAACAAATTGAGGAAGACACATCCAAAAGACACTCAAAAAAGAAGTCTGTTGTACAAGTCCTTTTACAGGATTACAAAAAGCAAGCTAAAACATCTGTGCAGCAATCGCAGAATTATATGAAGAAATCTGCCTCTAAGTATATATCATGGAATATTATTATAAATATTCTGTGTCATAAATTAAATAATTTATAATATTCCGATTATACATTTTTGTACTTATAATCTATGAGATATTCTAATTATTTTGATTTAATTTTCTTATAATAGACAAGACATCAATTTATGGAATGGAGCACCTAGTAAGATCTTTGAAAATATAGGCGATGTTTTACCAGATATGCCTGAATTAAAAACATGGGCAGCGTTAGAGCAAAGAGAATTAAAAGCACTCACAACTTATACGCCTGCCAACATTTTTCAAGAAATGATTCTTTGGACGGAGCAAGAAAAATTATGGAAGTTTCCGATCGACAATGAGCAAGGTATTTATATATCGTGCAACATTGCATTTTTTCCCCCAATATTCGCAATGCTCGACACAACATCTCATTTATGCCATTTTCAGGAATGGAAGAACAAAATATTCATTTCTCCGAGCATGTCTTTACGGAACGTTATTTGAAAGGATGGTGTCCTACATCAGGTCCCGTACGTCATTTTATGGAATTGGTGTGTGTGGGACTCTCCAAGAACCCATATATGACGATTCAAGAAAAAATCAATCACATTATGTGGTACAAAGATTATTTTCAATCTAAGGAAGAACTACTACAAGAATTAGGAGTAATTAATGAACCATTTCCTGACACAGCAAAACAAATTACACAGCAAAAATAGAATATTTAATAAAATAACTATATAATAGAGAAAAAAGATATTTAAATGCTTTACAATTTTAGATAAATTTTAATATAAAATGAATTTTTTCCTATAAATCCTTATAGACACTTGAAAATAAAATGTGTAAAATATGTAAATAAGTTTAGGGTGCAATATTTCTTTTTTTTATATTTATCAAAATATCTTAATATTTTTATTAGTATATATACATTGCTTATTAAATACATTGCTTATTAACGGCATATCAAAAACTATTCAGATAACCATGGGTCCTTGTAATTTTCAATTAGTAAATTTCTATCTCTGGATATTTTTATTTTTATATTATTATCTGAAGGAACCATTGATAAAATTATGATTCTATGTATAACTAGGAAAGAAGAGTTATTCTCACTTCGATGTAGGATTAAGTCAACTTGATCTCCTATATCCAGCTATAATAACATTTTTATATTATGTTAATAATATAAAATAATATTTTCATAAAGATATTTAAAAGATTACATTAATTTAACTGCAAATGCATAAACTTACCTCTTTAGATTTTTTAAATACTTTCTGTTCATTCAAACGAATTTTACTTGCATAAAATACTTCTTCTATTTTACTAAAAGTAAAGATAGAAATATATGGTATATATATATATCAGGATAAAATACTAATTCTGATATATGCAAATACAAATACAAAAATAACACTGTCACAGTAAACATGATATATGTTCTAATCTTATATTAGATAGAATTAAATCAGGCATACTTGCGCGACAATCCAAATGCAATTTTGGAAATGGCATCCAAACGAATAGACTGGATATTTATTGTTATGATTTTTGAACCAGCAGGTGCTTCTTCTTCCACAATATCTTCCTCTTCATTAAAAGATTCTTGATTCTGACTCTGTTTCCTCTATATTTAAAAAGTGATATTTTTACTACGACAAAAATAAGAGATATTTGGACAATTTTATATATATCAATTATAAGTTCTATACCTTATTTTTATTGCTAGACTTGAATCTTTTTGCTATATATAAGTTGCAATGATTTTGTACACTATATGATTTAGTACTGTTATTGTATGTAAAATTTATTGGTAAGCAATAAAGTGTACGTGCATTGTTATACAGAGATCTCCTAACAATATTAAATGTGGCTTTAAACATGGTAATGAAATATTTCTTAAAAAGTGATTTAAAAGTCAATTACATAACGTTTTTTATTATCAAAGGGATGTGTATAACTGCTTAAACTGCTCTATTTAAATTTTTCACATGAGGTTACACACATTTTATATTATACAATTTCATGTGATGTGTGTATAGCGAAAGACTTCAATACACTTTTGATCTTAGCACATAGTGCCGAGAAGCGATGTGTGTGTATAGCGAAGTTTCAGTTTCAGTTTCAATGGGCGCATTCAGTAGAAAAAGCGCTCAGTGAGCAATCAACGATTATTGGTTCTTGCTATTAGATCCCTAAATCTAGACCAATTACATTGACAAATTACTCAACTGTTGTACAACTGTTGAGTCTACTGAATGCAGCTAATGTTTGGCTGAGCACACTTTTCCTGTGAGTGACTCTACGCCATTAGAGTGCCGTCCCATTGGCTGCATTCAGCAGACTCACAGTTGCACAACAGTTGAGTAATTTGTCAATGTAATTGGTCTAGATTTAGGGATCTAATAGCAAGAACCAATAATCGTTGATTGCTCACTGAGCGCTTTTTCTACTGAATGCGCCCA